CAAAATCCCCTCACGAACCCCCAATTCCCTTCCAGACCCCCTTTTTTTATCCCTATTTAGGACCCCCCACTCATTTCCCCCTTTAGGAACCAACCCCATTTTTTACGACCCCCACCCTCATCTCCCCCAGACCCCGACGTCCTGGACACGTGGTTCTCTTCTGCTCTCTTCCCCTTCGCCGCCCTGGGGTGGCCCGAGGAGGTGAGGACACTGTGGGGACAACGTGGGGACAACATGGGGACACCCTATAACCCCCCCACGACCCCCCCAGACCCCCGATCTGCGTCGCTTCTACCCCACAACCCTACTAGAGACAGGCAGCGATCTGCTCTTCTTCTGGGTCGCACGCATGGTGATGTTGGGACAGGAGCTCACCGGGCACCTGCCCTTCTCCCAGGTACCCAAAATATCCCAAATTCTCCCCAAAATGTCCCCCAGGGAGGGGTCGATGTCCCTATATCCCCCTCCCCCCATACCCCATTGCTTCCAGGTGCTGCTGCACTCGCTGGTGCGCGACGCAGCGGGGCGGAAGATGAGCAAATCACTGGGGAACGTCATTGACCCCCGGGATGTTATTGGTGGGGCATCGCTTCAGGTAGGTCCTACAATAACAAACGTGGTTTTGGGCAGACCCTACAGTAACAATTTTTGCTTTGGGGGACCCTATAATAACTAACAGATCCCGTACAGACGCAATAATAACGATGATTGTTGTGATAACCTTTTGTTTTTGTAGGGTCTCCCCCACCCCACAACAACCCCTTTGTGATTGTAGGGTCTCCCCTACCCCACACCACCGACCCCTTTGTTATTGTAGGGTTTCCCCCACCCCATACCACCAACCCCTTTGTTATTGTAGGCTCTCCCCTACTCCACGTGACCCTTTTGTTGTTGTAGGGTCTCCCGTACCCCACACCACCAATCCCTTTGTTATTCTAGGCTCTCCCCCACCCCACAACAACCCCTTTGTTATTGTAGGCTCTCCCCCACCCCACATCAGCCCCTTTGTTATTGTAGGGTCTTCTCCACCCCACATCAGCCCCTTTGTTATTGTAGGCTCTCCTGTCTTGCAGGAGCTGCAGGAGAAGCTGCGCCGCACTGTCCTCGACCCCCATGAGCTGGCAGTGGCTTCAGAGGGGCAGGTGGGACCCCTATGTTCCCCCCAGACCCCTCTAAGTCACCCCAAACCCTTCGTGTCCCCCTCAAAATTCCACATCCCCCCCCCAGAAGCGCCAATTTCCCCACGGCATCCCCGAATGCGGCACCGACGCCCTTCGCTTGGCTCTGTGCTCCCACAACGTCCACGGTGAGGACTTAAAGAAGGGGACTTGGGGGGGGGTCCCTAACATCCCCCACCTCCCAAACACCACCCGTTGTCCCTCCTTCCCTCCCCCCTCAAAAAAAAAAAAGGTGATGACATCCGCCTGGACGTGGCCGCCGTGCTGAACCAACGCCATTTCTGCAACAAAGTCTGGAACGCCGTCAAGTTCGTCCTCGCCTCCGTCGGTCCCCACTTCATCCCTCGACCCCCCGAGGAGGTAGCAGGGTAGGGTGGTGGTTGTGAGGTTGGGGGTCTCCATCCCCCTCCTTTCCTTCCTCCCCCCCCAAAATCCCAAATTTCCAATTTTTTTCCCCGTTGTTGGCAGACGGTCCCACGCGCTCCCATGGACCGGTGGGTTTTGAGCCGCCTGGCGCGGGCGGTGGGTGAATTTGGGAGGAGGATGGAAGCTCTGGAGGTGCACGGAGCCACAGCTGCTGCGCAGCATTTCTGGCTCAGGTCCTTCTGCGACGTCTATTTGGTTGGTGGCGCGTCTGTCTGTCCGTCCGTCTGTCCTGCGTTCGTCTCTGTTCTGCCCCGGTGTTGTGTGTCCATCCATTTCCACTCTCTTGCATCTCGTTGGTGTTGAACCCCGTTGATCGCGTCCGTCTGTCCATCCCACTCATTGCTGACTCTTATCTACCACCGACCGCGTCCGTCTGTCCGTCCTACCCAACCTCTCTCATCTCCTTGACTGTGTCCATCTCTCCATCCCACTCGTTGTTGGTCTTTTTCTATTGTTGGCTCTGTCCGTCTGTCCATCCCACCCAACCACTGCATCTCCTTGACGTTGATCGTCCTTGATAGTGTCCATCTGTCCATCCAACCCAACCATTGCATCTCCTTGATGTTGATCCTCCTTGACCATGTCCATCTGTCCATCCAACCCAACCATTGCATCTCCGTGATGTCGACCCTCCTTGACCGCGTCCGTCTGTCCATCCCGCTCATCGTTGACCTTTGTCTACCACTGATCAAGTATCCATCTGTCCATCCAACCCAACCAGATCTCCTCCATCCTTCCCCCCCTCAACTTCCATCTGTCCGTCTGTCCTCTCCTT